TGAGGAAGATCAGCCCTGAGCTAACATCCATGCCAATCCTCCACTTTTTGCTGAGGAAGACTGGCCCTGAGCTAACACCCGTGCCCATCTTCCTCCACTTTATGTGGGATGCCGCCACAGCATGGCCCAACAAGTGGTGCATCAGTGACAAGTGGTGCATCAGTGCGTGCCCGGGATCTGAACCCGGGCCGCCAGCAGCGGAGAGCGTGCACTTAACCACTACGCCACGGGGCCGGCCCATCTCCCATTTTCTATATTCCAACCCTCTTGGACTTCTTTCAGTTCTTCAGAGATGCTGAACTCCTTTCTGCCCAAGGCCCCAACACCTTTTATTTGCTCTGTCAGGAATGTTCTTTCCTCTGCTACCCCTCATCTTGTCTTCTTAACAACTATTCCTTCTTCAAATTTTAACCCTGGGTCACTTATCTCAAGCAATTGATACCACATCCCCACCCCCACCACCAAATTCCAAAGAATTTGATCAGGTCCCCCTGTTAAATGGTCCCATATCACTTTAGTCTTGTCCTTTCTTTGTTGTGAAATATTGTTTACATTAAAAAATGTAATATTTATAATGTAATGTAATGTAATGTAAATAATATGTAATGTAGCAATATTATTACAAATCTCCATACATCTAAAACTGAGTTTAAGAAATAGAATTTTACTAATACCATATAATAAAGCACATGGTGGTCCAGCTAGAGACTATATTTTCCAATACGTCTGCCGCTAGCTGTAGTCGTGTAATTACGTGTAGTTTTACAGCACATACATTTCCCTAAACAATATGTTGTTTAGTTTTGCATGTGTGTGAATATTATAAAAATGTCGCCGTGTTGCCTGTGTTCTTCTATTTCTTGCTTTTGTACTCAATATTACATTTCTGAGTTGTTTCTATACTAATAGGTACTATTTCATTCATTTTTCATTTATTCCCTCATAAGTCCGGTTTAATGGAATTTTAATATCCTATGTCATGACTACCACAATTCATGCATTCTTTTGTTTACGGATATTTGGCTTGTTTCTAGTTATACACACAAACACACATGTGTATATTACATACATATGTATATATATGTGTGTATATGCAAATGACAAATATTGCTATCATAATATTTTGTATAGATACATGTATTTATTATTATTTTTTTAATGAGTTTCTCCCTATTATATTTGTGATTTTTTTTCATTAGGGAGTCACAAACCCAGGATCTTTTAAAATTCATTCCTCTGCTTGGGAGATTTTAGATCACCTAAGTGGAATGGTTTTCAACCCCAGCCTTGCATGAGGGTTATATTGTGACTAAAACTTTTCAAAGAAAAAATTTTTTTCTTCCATTTAGAGCCAAGATCAAGATACATTTCTTTGACATTTTCCTTTGAGGGGCCCTTTTTTTAAGACTATAAATTGTTGTTGCTTGATTTGGAAAATCTCAGCTATTAATTAGATTTCTCCACTAAGAAGGAATCGGCTTATTGACTGTCATAAATCTCTAATCTGGCCCATTTTGCAGTTAGCATTGTAATTCCACCTGGCAATTTGATAACCAACTAATATTGCATAAGCAGCCTGCTGGCTTTTCCTACCACATTTCTGTAGACATTATTTTAAAACTCTGGCTGTTTTCGAATTTAAATATATTTAAAATTACTCCCTGATGGGTTAATGATTACATTTTCAGATGCAATTTGTAAGAGTTCTATGCAGAGCAAAAAAATGAACACATGAAGACATGGTCTTAACTTTTAGCAACACGATGAAATGCACTTTGTTCAGCCATGAGTTTCAAAACAAAGTGCCCCTTTTGATGTTCTACTTTGTATTTTTTAATCTGTCTTTAGTGATTCAAGCCTATAGTAATATATCATACTTTATTTCAAACATTCTTTCGAAGTATGAAGCAAAAGGTGAACAATTTAAAAAAATGTAACATCAGATTAGACTTTTGCAGTGAATAAAACATCCTATTTTCTGGTCATTAAAGGCATCCCAGGGTAGAGTGGAAATGGGGGGTGGTTAAAACCCTGGCTTCACATGGTTGCTCCACTCCTGACTAGCTGCTTGATCATATGACATGATATTAGATCTTTCAGTTTTCTCATCTGTAAGTGGAGGATAATAATACTTATCTCACTAAGTACTTAGGAGGATTAATTGAAATTTATTAATACTGAAGCTCTAGAACAGGGCTTAGCACACAGGAGCCATCAATAATAGTTACATGGTTTCCCCAACGTAGCAACCAAACCAAATCACTTTTATGAAGAAGAGGAATCAGACAGCCCTCATAATACTATAGAGGTTTGATGATGAAGCTTAGATAAATAATAGTTTTTAATTTTTTTATTTTGCAATCACTTTAGTATAGATACAGTTTATTTAGGATGAAATTGTATGTTCACCAACTGACCAAATAAGACTAAATGTTTCTTGATGTCATATAATCAATTTATTTATTTCTCTTGGACTATAGCCTTTTGAAAAGAAGTAAAGACATAAAGATGTTGGAAGAAAGCGTGCATAGAGTTTTAAAAACAATTTTTGAGTAAAGAGAGTTTTGCTACGCGGGACATAATGTCTAGACACCACAAACGAATAGATTTGTAAGTTTGAGAACATACAAATTTAAAAATTCTATACTGCGTAAATAAAATCCAAAGTCAAGTAACAAAATGGGAATATTGGCAGCATTTATGACAAGAAAATGGGAATTAGTATACAAAGAGTTCTTACAAGTAATTAGAAAAGTACCAACTTAATTTCAAAACTGGCAAAAATAATATGAATAGACTTCATAAAAATAAATGCAAATGGATAAATATTTAAATGAATGCCCATCCACATGCATCATTTTTAAAAGCAAATTCAAACAATAATATGGCATTTTTCAACTATCAAAATGTTAGGCAACATTTTATGTTTCATAATTTTGATGTGTGTGTGGTGAACAGGCACACCCATTCATTGTTGCTGGGAGTATAAATTGCTGGAATGAAATTTGAACTACGTATATCAAAATTGAAAATGTACATACCCACTGCTAGTAACTTATTTACTGAATGTCTTGGCACAACAATGCAAAGCTCTCTGCACTCAAAAATTTTCATTCCAGGATTATCTACACAGGTTTTTGTTTTTTTTTAATTCTGGATAAATGTTCATGATAGGAAAATAGTAAAATAACTAAGGCTAGTTATATCCTTAACACGGTATACTCTTAGCTATAAAAAGGAATGAGAGAGAACTATAACGTGCATATTTGGAATAATTTACATTATTTTGGTGTGAAAAAAGTAATATGCAAATAGTTTTTATTGTCAACTTCCATTTATGCAAAGAAATAAATATAAATGTGGATATAGCACATGTATTAGATTTTTTTAGGAAAAAAAATCAAGAAAAAAGTTGAGAGAGAATTAGGGGTATAACAGTGGAATAGCAGGAAGGAAGGAGAAAGATTTTTCACTTAATGCTTTTCCGAACTGTTTGAAAGTTTCTCTATACTCATGTATGTTTTACTTTAATTTTAAAAAATTAATGAAGTTAATATGCTAACAAAAATATGTAAATTATAAAGGACTAAAATTAATGTCATTAGGAGCCAGCAAATAATTTTAGGTGTTGAAAAATATGTACTATGTGCTGTTGAAGGGGAACTGTTAAAACTTGACATTCTTGGCGTGAAATGATACATTCATTGATGCTTAATGAGTTTTATTTTCCCCCAGACAAAGCCAAAGGAAGATCAAGAGCAGGGACCCACTTTGACTCAGCCCGGAGACGGAGTCGAGCGGTCCTTTATCACATCTCTGGGCACCTGCAAAGAAGAGAAAAGAACAAACTGAAAATAAATAATGTAGGTGGTATGTGTGTACACTATGAATGCTAGAGTTTCCCCTGGTGGCAATGTTTGATTCACTAAAGAAAGGCTCCAATTACTCGTTTATTGGCTTTCCTAGATCTCTTTCCACTTTGGCTTGTGCTTTTCCATAAAGAACAAACTGAAAAAGGTCAGCAGTCATGAGGCATTTCTGTAGTAAAAGTGCTTAATCATAGTGTTATCACAGCATAGAGATTAGAATATTACTGCAGTGAGTATAATATAGTACTAGCGATGCTGCAAACGGGGACATACTGGTTATGTTTTGTGAACAAGATGATGCAGCCAGTCATATTACACATTCATAGTTTGTTGGTTAAAATCTCTCAAATTTAATTTTAGTTCCATCTATTTTGCACTTTATCTAATTTTGCTTAATGCTTTTATCCAGAGGGACCATGAACAAATCAAAGTCATTATTCCATTTAAAAATTTACATTTTATACAAAACACAGTTGGACATTTCACACTGTGGAATATTGGATTTGAAATTACAGACCATACCTTATACAGTTAGGTAAAAATTTGCACCCTTAGTAAATTATAGTAGGACTACTTTCTGAAACCTGGTGCTTATCTGTTAAAAGCCACAGCAAATAACTGTGCCTGTAAAAGGTGGTTCTTTGCAGAGTTTTACATGACACACATCCTCCAGGATTTCATACTTAATTTCATAATTGGTCCATAGCACTAGGAGACTTCACTGAGAAACCCAGAACTATGTCTGTTTAGTTGTAGATATTCAAAGATAATTTTTCAAATATGGTAATGTCATGAATTTGCATCGTGTAATCCTCAGAATACATGGCTTTGAGGGTGTGTGTGACTGTGGGTGGCAGATATAAGTACTCAGGTTCTAACTTGCCAATGACATTAAAAAGTCATATCAAGCAACCAGAGCTATGTTGGAATCGATCTAAGACCCAAAAGCTCTGGGAGTTGGGGACACAAGGGGATTCTTTGGCATCTTACTTTTTATGTAGAAAGCTCAAGACTACCTAATCTGACATACAAATGCTTTGATACAACAGAGTCCTGCATTAGATATACAAAGCATCTGCTTATCTGATTGTAGTGAACAAAGAAAGATGCATGAGCCCGGGTGTGGAGCGAAATCTGACATGAAAATGCTGCAAACCTGGTTCTGCTTCAATGTGATTTCTCTCTGGAAGCCAGAACAAGCTGTTTTGATCCATTTGTGCTCCAGGAACATCACTCATGCTGGTGCTGATCTGCCACGTACCCCTGTTAAGAGTCACACACTGCTTATGTTGTCCTGACGATATACAGATTTTCTAGGCATACCAGTGCCTTAGTGTCACATTGATTTCCTGAGAGTCCAGGGATACACTTGAAACAGTGCACACCGCTTGATCTATGGATCCTTCCACTGATTCCTATTTACATGTCTCTTCAATTACCAAGTCAGCCATAGTGACAGTAAACAAGTTCTAGGAAGAAACAAAGGTAACCACATCTGGGCTTGAATCAATGCAAGCCAACCAGCAAAGCACCTAATCAAATATTAGCCAGAGATTCTGTAACACTGAAAGCTGACACCGTCTTCTAGACTTCAGTTGAGAATCATTTAAATATGGCAAGTATTAGTGAGCTTTAAAATGTATTTTCTGAACATGCTGTTTTTCCCCTTAGATTCAGTAAAGTACTGAACAGTACTTAAAAATCTGATTTAAAAAATCATAACTCCCACTGCTTAGCTAATTTGCTAAATTGCCATTCATTTAAGAAGTACAAACATCAGAGTGGAGCATTAAAATAATACACAGTAATTCAGGACGAGTAATCAACACAGTGACTCTGACAATACAGGTAACATCTTACTTCTGAAAGCGAAGTGTGGAATCAGGACTGGCCCTGTTCACCATCTCCTTTCAAGGAGAACAGAGTAGAATGGCTAAACGACAGCAGGAAGAGAGAAGGAGGAAGAGGAAGAAATGATCTGGATAGTTTATTGGCTAAACAATCTGTCTTTGGGGAATTCTGGCTATATGAACATTCACACACACACACAAAAGAGTTCTTAACATTTTTGTAACTCTTTGCTATTTACAGATTCCTTTTACTTACATCATATTATTTGATTCTTACAGCAAGCCAGTACTAATGATTTTTATCAGTTCCATTTTAATGAGGGAAAAGAACAACTTACTTAAGATCTCAAAAGGAGAAGCAGCGGATGTGGGCCCCTCCTTGAATCCCCTGACTCAAAGCCACTGTGTTCCTGCCCCTCCCTTGCTGCTTCTCTGATCCAGTTCTGTGGAATAGGCATATATGATTCAACCATGAACAAATTAACTCATCAGGCCATTAGCAAGGTTTGGAAATCAGGATGTAACACCTTTTAGTCTGGGCTCTAACTTTGCCTGGTACGTCTTGGAAAAGGTGTTTAATTTCTGCCTCCCTTGATTTGCTACTCTATTAGATGACATTGGGATGATGCAAGAGTCTCCACCACAAACTGAAAGATCACATGAGAGTCTTGGGAGCTTGAAAGGAGAGTGGTTTAAATGCCTGAATATTACCAGCATGGTAGTGTGCTAGCCATCATTGAGGGCATGCACTATGCTGGAATTACTCGGCATAGTGACTGTAGAAACATTTTCCTATCCCTTTTTTCATTCAGAAGTTAGTTTCAAAGAAATGTTACAAAAATTATTCAGGGCCAGCCCGGTGGCTTAGCAGTTAATTGCTCGCGCTCCGCTGCTGGCGGCCCGGGTTTGGATCCCGGGTGAGCACCGATGCACTGCTTCTCCGGCCATGCTGAGGCCGCTTCCCACATACAGCAACTAGAAGGATGTGCAGCTATGACATACAACTATCTACTGGGGCTTTGGGGGGGAAATAAATAAATAAATAAACTTATACGAAAATTATTTAGGAAACAGTTACCTTAGTTAGGCTTTGGCCTTAACTATTATGTTTCAATAATTCTTAGAGTTTAAACAACTAAAGCATCATTGGCACAAAAGAATATGCTTCAAAATTAATAAATAATATGTAATTAAAATAGAAAATAGTCAGTGTATCATTCTTTAGGCAAATTCCATATGTTGCAGGGTTATAAATGATATGTCTTTTTCTCTTACTTGCTACTTTCCAACTGTAAGAAATTTTCTTCCTTTCCAAAGGTTTTTGATAAAACTTTACAAATACAGTGGTGGGAGGAGAGGAGCATCTATTTTTTTTTTTTTTTTGTGAGGAAGATCAGCCCTGAGCTAGCATCCATGCTAATCCTCCTTTTTTTGCTGAGGAAGACCAGTTCTGAGCTAACATCTATTGCCAATCCTCCTCCTTTTTTTTTTTTTTCCCCAAAGCCCCAGTAGATAGTTGTATGTCATAGTTGCACATCCTTCTAGTTGCTGTATGTGGAACGTGGCCTCAGCATGGCCGGAGAAGTGGTGCGTCGGTGCGCGCCTGGGAGCCGAACCTGGGCCGCCAGCAGCGGAGTGCGTGCACTTAACTGCTAAGCCACGGGGCCGGCCCAGAGGAGCATCTATTTTTTCACTCAGGTGGTTGAGTCAAGATGTATACAAGATCTGAGTTAAAAACTTTTCAAAATTTAAGTCTAATCTGAGATGTATTGGATTCTCAGTATCTTTTAAAATAATTTTAAATAACATGTTTTAAGTAGCCTATAAAAATGAAATAGTGTGATTTATTTTCTGATTTGTGGAGATTACTAATACATTGCTGACCTTTTGCATCAACATCACTAATGCTTCATGTAATTAGAATAATCCGAAGAAAATACTTTGCTTCTTGAGTTTTCCCAGCTCTCATTCCTAGAGCTGGCTTCTCCCTCAAACAAGGTAAAATTTTAATTACTGTAACAAGGTAGGAAAAGACTTATTTGGATAGAAATTGAGATATTCCCCTATGGCTTCTGGTAATATCTTATTGTAGTAAATATTTGAAAAATAAATATATTAGAATCCATCATGTCCTACTCTAAATGGAAGTGCTCAACCTTGAGGGGATTAATACTTATGGACCCTAACTCTCCCTTCTCCTATGCACCAGCCTAAGCTTTGATGAGAATGCCAACACTTATACTTCATTCTCCTCTTCTCAGTTTTATGCCAAAATCTACTATTGGAACTTGTTCCTGGAAACCAGAGAATGAGGCGAAGGTGGCAGGTTAAGTATCAGGGAATTGAATGGAACTTACACGCAGTGGCAGATGGGCATCAAAGAACCATCTGGAAGTAGTGACGCAGTCCCTCACTATGAAATCCTGGTATTATGAGGTGCCTGTGTGGGTTGAGTGAGAATATTAACAGGAAGTAGAAACATGTGTTGGGAATGCCTACCAAGGAGAGATGCAAGATAGGAGGCATTAATATTAAGGTAGCAAAAATATTTGGTCACTGCTAGTCACCAGTAAAGAGCTAAGTTTTCCTCATTGCTCTGAACCTTTCTTGAATCCTCAAGTATTTCAGGAATCCTTGAACATACCACATTAATTTACTCTTCCCTCAGTGGCTGAAACAAGAAGACACAATGTGACCTGCAAGTAACATGTATTCCAGAACTTTTAATTGTTCTGTTTGTTCAACCTAACTTTCAAATTTAAGTATCCATTACCTATCTTGTATTTCACATTAATTGAGGTCAAAGCAAGGTCTGCAAGTATCTGGTCATAGGCTTGTCAAATTTCCACAAGCGCTATTGTTGGGCCTCCCTTTGTCTCATGGCAAGAAGGAGAATTGTTCGTCAATTTGGACTGCTTTCAAAGTGAAGTGCTTTTGTAGTTATAAAAGCTCCAGCTATTCTTCTGCATTTAATCAGCTGCACAGTGAACATTGCCTTTCTCCTCCCATGACTTGAATAATAACACTTAAGTAACCTTTTCTCACTTTGCCATCTTAACAAGGGCTAACCAGTGTCAGAATAAATCCACGTCAACCAAGTTTATGAGATTTGAGTTCCCAATTTGAAACTTCACCAACAACCACAATGCAAAAAAGCAAGTAGTTAGCACAACCTGGTTATATTTTGAAGGAAATGTAAACAGCTGTTTACAATAGAATGTTGATCATATAACTCTATCTTTTGTAGGAAAAAAAAATGGTACCTTTGCTGTCATTAGAAGAATTTCAGGTCAAGTATATTCTTTAGATAATGACTGTTATCTCAAAACAATAAGTATATGCAATGTCCCCATGACAATAGGAATATAAATATATCTTTGTGTTTATAATGCATGTAGGGTTATACTTGCAACTGTGGATGTTTCTGGTGACATTTTGGGTAATAGTCTTTTTATTTTTTAATGAAAAAAAATTGGATTACTCACTTAACATTCATGACTAAACTCTACCTGTTCTTGTTCCTTACAACAAAGATCTCTGCTCCATTTTGATATATACATCTCCACTTTTTGCATCACCAACTTCTAAAAGTCACTTGTGAGATATATTGACCTTGTATGTATAAATGATCCTCCTCACAGAAATGTGCATTTAAGGCTGTGTGATCCTTGTTTCTAATGTTGTGTCTCCCTTCTCTCCTTTTTGTCTTTATCCACAGAACGTTTTTGTAGATAAACCAGCATTTCCGGAGTACAAAGTTTCTGATGCAAAAAAGTCCAAATTCATACTTTTGCATTTTAGCACTTTTAAAGCTGGCTGGGACTGGCTTATTCTGTTGGCGACGTTTTATGTTGCCGTGACTGTACCTTACAATGTTTGCTTTATCGGCAACGATGACCTGTCCACGACTCGGAGCACAACAGTCAGTGACATTGCAGTGGAGATTCTTTTTATTATAGGTAAGAACCAACAGCTGCCTTCCTAGCAGATTTGCATAGGGGAAGTAAGTGTGTTCCAGATTTTTCTGACGCGAATTTGAACTAAGATCCATTTGCATGGGCATGACTCAGTCTCTGATGCAAATTTTGAAGAAGCACATATTTGGATTTCTGGAAATTGCCTCTTCCAGCTCTCTCACTGTTCCTTTATTCAAACAGATCTAAACTGGTGTTCTGTGTTTCTATCCTTATTTTGCCAAAAATGGTCTAAAAAAGGCTTGATGGCTATTTTGTTTGTACTCTCACATCCATCATGATCTTAACTGTGTAAGGTCGGAGATGGGGCTTGGCAAGAACCCATCAGTGGTGTTCAGATAGCAGTCTAATCCTGGCATGGTTCTCCATGCCCTTCCATGCCCTTTTGGCATGTTGATGGCGACTGCCATAGGTGGCCTGGTTGCAGAAGCAAAGAATTACATAAGCCTTCTAGTTAACCGAGAAAAGCAGTGAGTATGTGATTTTAACCAAAGAAGAGGTCCCAAGGGATGTTTGCTAAGCATATTTACTTCTAGAATATTGGGAATCTCAGTTGAAGCTGTTTTTGCTCCACGCTTGTAAACCTTTTCCTATTTTCTTGGCCTTTAAATCTTCATCTTGTTAGGCCAAAGCCTAGCTCTTTCTTGCTCATTCTAGGACAGATTCTAGATCTCCATTAAAGCTTAGATTGACTCCCTGTCCAGTTCTTGACCTGGTTATGGTGATATACGGCAACATCTTAACTGTAAAGATAAGAGAATGTTTTGAAAATGTTTTCGAGCAGGTAAGTGAATAAAGGAATAAGAAATGGATCTTAAAAGTTCAAAGAAAAGGAAATAAATACATGAGACAGACCAAAACCTGTTTCAATGGTGCTGGTACTTTTTTCTCTGTGAAGCTGGTAAAGCTTTGGGGCCAGAGTGAGTTCTTTAGCTGAATGTCAGTACATGTTTGCTCTGCGTGAGTTTGTATGCTCTTGGTGTGGCTTTGGCATCACTATTAACATTGCAACTACAGGGACACCCCTCAGAGATATGTTAGGACCCCTGTTCCCACCCCAAACATGGTGGCTGTAGTATGTTTAGGCCACTAGATGGCAATGTTGTCTAGTTAGGTAGCTTGGAAAAGCTACAAACTCAAGAAAATTTGTCTTTGTTTTTTTTAAAATTAAACTATTCTTTATTGGAAAGGTATAACAATAAAGGGATATTAAATCACTATTAAATGGAAAATAACATTCCAGTTTGAAAAACAATTTAAAAGGAAAATCGTAGACAAATTGGTGTGTCCATATGCCAATCCATTATAGTTTTATATCCTTTGCTAACCTTTAGTGCCGTCTCCCCCCCAACCATGGCATACACATAAATTAGCACCCTAAAGACTCCTTGTGACCTCATCAAAGTTCTCAAAAACTTGGGAAGTCATTCAACATGTCTGAGCCTGAGTATCTGCTTAACAAATATTTTTTCTTATTATTATTACTATTATTATTGTTATTTACAACTCTGTCATAGGGCCAAGGTTATATCTTGAACTTTCTTTTCAGCTCTTCTTGGTTCTTAGATATTTGAAATTCCAAGGGCTTAGAAGCCACTTCTGGTACTCCATGTTCATTGGCAGATGATGACTTGTTTACACTCAGGACAAGTGACACCTGTGAGAAAGATATTTTGTACTAAACCAATAGAGTCTGGCTTGCCCCCTTTCCCCTACACCAGCATAGTTGCCCCAGAATCTTCTGTGTTCTTTCTTACTGTCATTACTACTGTGCTCCAGGCGGCAAGATGTTTCTCTATGTAGGCAATACCCATCCCTTACTAGTTGCATGACAAAGGAATGGAAACGCCCTCCTGTTTTTATGCATTTTACCTTCTACAAAGATTACTTTAGAACTTGAGATTTTGGTCTGCTAACAGTTTTGGTATGATTCCTGCCTCGAATCTCTTGTTGACCTATTTTTATAAGCAGTAAAACCTTCCTTGCTCTTTCCTACTACTATCTTCCTGCTCTTTCATCTTTTAAATGAGTTTAAATGTATCTACAACTTATTATAACATATTTGGAAAAATAGCTTAAACTAATATTTCTCGAAGTATGTTTCCCAGAAACTTTATGTATGAAATATTTCACAAAAGTGGCCTAAAAATGATCATTGAGAAATAAGTCAAAATACTAGGAATAAAAAAGTGTATTGCCTATAATATTGTATTTTTACAATACTAAGGCAACATTTGTACCATTTAATATTTATTAAATGGGTATGTGTGGTAATGTGGTAATGTGTGGTAACATATTTAACATACTGTTTATTTTCTATTTCTAGAATAGTGTTATTAAATTGACATTTTATAATCAACCGGGTCAGAATTGTTAAAAAGTAGTTTAAAAGAAGGTTTGGGAAGGAAAGGTTTTCATATAGCTAAACGATGCTTTTAAAATATTTTGTGATTTGTACTACTCTATATAAATGTAAGGCAATGTGATTATTTTCTAGATGGGGAAAAATTAAATGTTCCATGAAAAAAGAATGTATAGTCAAAATGAAAGTTGGGAGATAATATGTCTCTTTTGGAGATGCAAAATAGGCTTTAGCATTATAAATCCTCTGAGAAATTCAGTCATAAAGAAATCAGTTTAACTCTGATTAATCCAGCACCTCCTAAAGTTATTTTTACCTCAGAACTCATTGCCCCCCAGACCACTTAGTATACTCTTTTGGGAAGACTGACTTAAAAACATTCTTCCCTGATGGATTCACCATAAAGAAAGTATCTGAGTGCAATTATGCTAGTCAAAATATAACTATCAATGGTGAGCTTGACTCTTTCCTAACTACTCTCTTCCTCTTAAGTTACAAAGTGAGTATAAAATTCCTTTTAGTTGGAAAACCATCATGTATTAACTTAGCTGCTGATTCAAAGCCATACAGAAACTTAAAATGAGAAGTGACCTAAAAAAGAAAAAAAAAAAGAGAGTGACCTACTAGTAATTAATCCGATCCAATCTTTCTTACTTTATAGTTGGGGAAATTGAGTCCTGGTGATTTGCCCAAGCCTCCATGACTAACTGATGGCAGACTCAGGTCTCCTGGGTGTTGGATCAGGCTTTTTAAGAGTTTACAATCAATATGATTCCATTTTCTGAAAAATTCCACTCAATTTGCTTTCCTTTATTTATAACAAGGAGACAGAAAATGAGAGAAAGAAGTGCCAACTTCCTTCTCTTTCTTCCATGAATGCAGAAACTGATAGTTTGAATCTCTGAAATCTTGGTGGTAAAAACTGTAGTATACCCATAGGTCCAACAATCACTTCCCCCAGTTCCTTACTAAAATACCAAAGAACCCACTTTTTTGCAGGCAACAGTATGCCCAGACCCAGGGAAATTAATTATGACTGTTCTAAGCCAGTGGTATTTCCATTACCCTTAGCCAGTTTCAGATGTAGGGTTAATTATGTGACCAGTTCTATCCAATAGGATACAAAAAGATAGTTTCTGAGGACTTCTTGGAAATCTCTTTTTTTTCCCCTGAAAAAAGAAGAGAGACATGTGAGGGAAAAATACTTGTGTCCCTATTCCTTCTTTTCCCAGGATTTGTGGATGGGAGGATATGATGTGTGTACCTATCACAGCCATCCTTAATTGTTGGGAAAAACATAGGAAAGAAGATATGGATGGCAGAGCAGAAAGTTGAGATATTGCACCTCTGAAGTCCTTATCGGGTGATATAGTAATGCTATCATTATGGGAGCCACTGTTAATTGGATATTCTGTTACTGATAGCTATATCATTCTAAAAAAAAAAAAAATACCACTCTAGCATCTGTGACCCCTTCACTGAGCTATTTCTGAGGTTCTAAGATATATCCTTTCCAAAGAAACAGAATGCTTTTTCTTCTTTCCTGTAATTCCACTGTAAGCCTATCTAGGAAGTGGTTTGCACATGCTTCTTATCTGCTGTTATAACCGCAAAGGCTTAGAATCATTGGCTATGCCATGAAGCTATAACTCTGATTGACTTGGTCTGTCTAAGAACTCCTCAGAAGGTTAAAGGTCAAAGGAAACATGGTATGCAATTGTATTTTCTCTTTACATTTACCTCAGTCACAAAAGGGCAGTTGAGAGTCGTGTGGGATAAAGAGCAATCCTACATTGTGTAGACCATTCTGTCCAGGACTGAACATCTAGCATTCTTACCCGCTACCCACCAGCATTGCTCCTCAATTATTAGGAAAACCCCAAACACCCCATACATATTTGGAAGGCACTTTTTTCTTTTATTTTTAAGGTTATACTCTGTGTCCATTTAGGTAGTTCTAGTTCAGTTCTCAGTAGGGACAGTATCACATGTAGGGAACATTTTAGAAATATGTGAGTTTGACTTTAATTCATTAATCAGCGTTACCATCACTTGGTAACGCTGATTAATTTAGCATTTATTTAGTGCTTTCAGATCACATTTTACATATTTACAAGTGATTTCACCCCAACTAATGAACAGAATTCGTATAAGTGCAGTATTTCTTATGAGCACATTTCTATATTTTCATCATGCTGATTATTTCTTTTTCCTTTTGTCTATAATGCTTTATTAATCAATGCTTCTATTCACTTACATGTCACCAAATTTTTCTATCTCAGGATCTTTATTTCATTATATCATTTAATTTTCATTTTAATCTTGTGACATAATTAAGGCAGGTATATCTGTTTATACACAGGAGGGAAAGGGGGAAAACGAGTAAGCAGTTTATCCAAAATCTAGCCAATTACTGACCAAGCTAGGACTAAAACCCTAAACCCATTTGCAAAATGGGCAAAATAGTAGCATTTTTGTGAGGATTTAGTGAGGTAATTGTATCAAGAAATAAGCTCACTCACTGTTCAATCAGTAGTGATGAGTATCACCAATAATGTCACCAAGCCCATATCTCTTCAATTTGTTTTAAAATCCACTATTTTCAGAAAATCAGCACTCTTTA